GAATGCACTGGGGAGTTTCTTTTCTGGTCCTGTCTGTTTGGTGTTCTATATGCTTCTTGTATTTGTATGGGCATGTCTTTCTTTAATTTAGAGAAATTTTCGTCTACAATCCTGTTGAAGATCTACTCCATATCATGATCCTGAGATTCTTCTCCTTCCTGTATGCCTATAAGTTTTAAGTTTGGTCTTTTTATGGTGTATCACAATTCCTGCATATTCCATTCTTGTGATTTCTTAAATTTGTCATAATCTTTATTTGAGTGGTCTAGTTCATCTACTTTATCTTCCAATCTTGATATTCTGTTTTCCATTTCATTCATCCTATTGGTGAGGCTTTCTCCTGTCATTTCTAACTGGCTTACTGAGTGTTTCACTTCCTTCTTCATTTCTCCTGAGTAGTCTTCAATATTTCTAGGTCTTTTCAGAATTCACTCAGAAGTTTATCCCTATCTTTCTTCAGTTCTCTGATTTGTTTGTGTGTTCTTTAAATTCACTGATTTTTTTTTTTATCATGTTTTTAATTGTTCTTTTGAGTCCCATGTCCTACATTATCTCTAGGGGGTTCTCTTTGTATTTGGTATTCTCATTGGTATTTGGTGGGGATATGTTATTTTGGCTTTTCATGTTATTATTTTCTGTGATTTTGACATGTGAATTTCTTTTTTAATTTCTGATTCTTGTGTGAGACTCAAGCCTTCAAGTTTAGGTCTGCTTCTTTTTGTAAAATTTATGTGCCTTTGTGGTTTACTTTTTGGGCATGAAAAGCTGGTTCGTCCAAGCTTCCAGTTTTCTCTTTTGATTTTGAATTGGGGTGGCCCGATTGCTTTTGTCTTTAGGATTTCCCACAGAGACCCAATTCAGATGAGGATTAGATGCTCTCAGGCTTTCTCCTAAGGTCTGGCTCCCTCCAGGAAAGATTTTGGCCTCAGGAATATGGGGGTTGGACTGGCCTGGGAGCAGGGCCCAGGAAAGATGCTGGTCTAGGGCAGCTGGTGGCCATGCCACCCAGAGATGCAAAGGGAGATGGGGGTGGGAAGAGGCCTCAAGGGCTCCTGGGGACTGCACTGAAGAACTGGGTTGGTCTGGATTCAAAGGATCAGGAAGCAGTGGTGGTTTCCCTTCATGTCTGCAGTGCCAAGACAAGGAATGGGACAGGTCCCAGGCTAGGTGGAGAGACAGGCAGGGGAGATGATAGGTGAATGAGGCTGGGGAGTCAAGGCAGAGGGCCGGATAGACTTATCCCCGAGAGAGGCCTGCGGGTCGTGCAGGGCCAAGGAAGCAGAAGGCTGAATTTGTATTTTTAAAAAGAATAAATGTTGAACAATTTGGCTTTAATATGTTAACAACACAACGATTTCATTATAAAATATTTTATTATGCATTGTTATATTTTTGTTATTGGTTAAAGCTCAATGTATAGTACACTGCTTGGCACATAAATAAGCTTTATAATATCAATGCGTAAGGATCAGAATTGATTTATTAAAAGATTTCATCAGAATTTTCTGTATTTTTTGTATTTTGTTTGACAAGCATATATTTTTTTTGTGGATGATGGAAGGTTTTATTTTATTTTATTTATTTTTTTTGTTTCTTCCCAAAAATACTTTACTTATTAAATAATATATCCATAATTTATAACATGATCCAAAAATACAGACATACATCTTTACATTATTTAATAAAAAGATTTACAATAGTATCTTTCATTTACAAAAAGGACATAAATAATAATTCCTTGAAAATAAAATGTGCCATTCATGTTAAAGCTGCATCAGCCTGCTGGATGGAGTGTGGTCAAGACACCACAGTGCATTCCAAGGAGAAAGATGCTTCAGTCGTGCCCCCATGAGAACACTGTTCTTAGACCTCCCTTGCTTTAAAACTCCTTTTGGTATAAGCAATGAAAATCACTGTTCACTGAAAACCTTAGAAAACTCAGGTCTTCAATGCCTGAAATAAATACCCTTCACTGTTTGATTTCAAACCATGAAGACCTAACCTCCCAGCTTCATAACAGGGCAGACCCTGAACACATGCTGTCTGGACAACATTATTGCTTAAAGCGTCCCTACCATGGCCTTCTAGGAACAGGTTAGGACTGAGGCAGCTGTCTGAACAGGGACAAGCAGCCAGCCATGTCCCCAAGCCACCCACAAGCGGTGCCCCCCCCCAACACATAGCTCTTCACTGCAGAGTAGAAGACATAGCCAGTGGCCTGACTCCTACTGACCTCACCTACAGGATAGACTGGCAGTCAGCACTCCTCAGACCACCACACTACTACCATGTTCACAGATCTGGGGGACTCCATTTAACAAACCTTTTTATTTAATTCATCATGCTTCTATAAGAAAACTGGAGAAATTCTTCAAACTACTGATAATGTGTAGGGAAAACAAAGATGATTCCTCTTAGCAAAACACTTTGTATTATACAGAGAGGACCCACCCATGGCTCAGGCAAAACAGCTGCCACAGTGGCCTGCAGGGGTCACCCAGCCCCACAGCCTTACCCACTCTGTCCAAGAAACAAGGATGGCTTGCAGGGTAGGCCTTGCTGGGCAGGCACGAAAGAGGGTCTCGTCCAAGAATGGAGACAGCCACGCCCGGAACAATGCTCACTGGCACAGCACCACAGTGCCTGCATTTCTACAGCACGCAAGCCAGAGCTAGTGGTATGACACTTTTTCTCTGGGTGTCCTCCTTGCTCACAGATAGTGATGGTGGGGATAAACATTTCACCAGAGTCCAAACAACACCCAAGGGATTTTCCTCTTCTGCTCATGTTTTCTGTTTTGTGTTGTTTTGGCGCCATGGATCAAACCTAGAGCATCATGCTTGCTGAGCAAATACTCCACCACTGAGCTAAATCCTCAAACTCAAATTTTCTGTTTTTTCCAAAGCTTAAATGCATCTTATTTTGGTGATATTACTGTAAGGTTTTTTTTTTTTTAATAAATATATTTTTAATTAATTGATTAATTTGTCTTTTTTAGACAGCATCTCCATGTAGCCCCAGCTGGCCTGGAACTCGCTATGTAGACCAGGCTGCCCTTGAACTCACAAAGATCTCCTGCCTCTGCCTCCCAAGTGCTGGGATTAAAGGCATGTGCCACTATGCTGGGCTCTTTTTAAGTTTAATAACCCATTGATTTCAATTTCCTCCATGTATTTCTGGATGTGTGGCTATCCCTGCCCTGACTGAAGATCTATGGACAGTTGATAGCTTCTGGGGAGGGAAAAGCTAATGTTCTTAAAGGTGTGACTCCTGGTGGGTTGATACCTTTCTTTTAAAATCAGAAATTTATCACTGAAAATGCAGAGGTTTGAGTAGTTACGGTTACCCTCCTGTACTCTGAGAGGAACTAAACTGGAAGACACTTCCTAAAACTTCATGTGAAATCTCAGTTGTATATTTGTTCAGCATTTAAGGCTTTTTTTTTCTTTTTCCAATTTCAGCTTTCGAACGTCTTCAAATAAAGAAATAATTATAAGGAGTGGTAAGACTTGTAATCACCCTTATGATTTCTTGAGGGGCAGGGATTTAAAAAGGGCTTTTTAATTTTTTTCATCTTTTTGAGATAGGGTTTCCCCATAGCCTTCGCTGGCCTGGAACTCACTTATGTAGTCCACGCTGGTCTAGCTCTTGCGGAGATCTGCCTGCCTCAGCCTCTGCCTCCTGAGTGCTGGAATTAAAGGGATATGCCACCGTGCCCAGCTAAATAGATGGGCTTTTTCTGGGGTAGACTTCTCTCACCAGTGTTGTTTGTTCCTGGAGTGCCTCCTGGAAAAATCTTAAAGTAGGTTATTTAAAATTATGAGCAAAATCAGGCTCAAACTGGATATATGTCAGTGATTAGCATAGTATTATCATTGTTCAGCTATGTTAATAAACTAGTGACTTGAGCCTTGGTACTCATGTTACGGAAAAATTGGAGACCAACAGTTGAAGTCAGGTGAGGAGAGGAAGTTTAATAAATTTATGCTAGCGGGACTGACCTCATGGGTAATATGGAAATGGAAAGCTTTTGTAACATGATGGTAATTAAGAGCTTTGCAGCAGGGAAAACTCTTAAGAGACAGGTATGGGGAGGTGAGCAGAAGTCTCCCATCCTGTCCCTGTGATTGCCCAGGATGGAAGTCTTTGTTTTCCAAAGTTTTCGCATTCCTGCAGCCTTTATGGCCATATGTTACCTTGCTTGATTATCACATGTACCTTTTACTTAATTGTCACCTACGTGCTGTTTTATCTTTTGTTTGCATTTCCCACACATGGGTATAAAGCCCCCAAAACTGGAACAAGGGGTCTGACTCCTTTTATTCATGGGGTCAGTCCCGCTAGCATAAAATTATTAAACTTCCTCTCCTCACCTAACTTCAGCTGTTGGTCTCTGATTTTTCCATAACACACATCATTATTTATTTATTCGACAGGTCAACAGAATAATGGAGATATGAAACCAATCCAGAATTTCACAGCAATACCACTCACACAGGTACGGTTATGTCAGGAGGTTAGACTAACTAAAAATCACCTTTCAATTCTCTCAGAGCTACTGTGAAAATATAAATAATGATCATATTAATAATGAACATAAACTTACTTGGACTTCAGATGGGAGCTGTGTTATGGAAGTCTTATAGCTGAGAAAACAAAGTTCTCTTCTTTTGCTTGACCTCTTACATTTTTCATGATAATGCTCAGTTTTATTTTTTTCTGGACAGGAGCACAATAGTAAGTATATCTTTGAGTACTGGTGAGCTTGGTTTGCTGTTCTCTCTCATCTAATTTTTCTTTTATTTGTATATACACGAGAATAATTGGTTTACTATTTGTGCTGTAGTTTGAGTAAATATATAAAGGCATGTATCATTATTACATGATGCAAATTCACTTTTATACTTGTCAGAATTCCTTGCTACTAAGGACTCAAATTCATCTCTTAAATTTCTTCTATTTGGTTTATTAGGCTTTCCACTATAAGCTGAGCAAAGAACATTGGAATGCATTCAGCCATCATAACCCTGTTAAGTTCTCCAGGGATGGAATCCCCTGTATCCTCTTCTGGACCAAAAGAATCACAGTTAAATTTAAGAATCAGACCTGGCTGGACCTTACAGATGAAACATTAGGTCAAAATACAACAGTGGACATCGGCAACTCAAGTTGCAGTGAAGAAAGTGCCATGTAAGTTGATCTTTCTGACTGAGAAGCTTACAGGAGTACAGCGACCTGCTAACTGTGAGGGACCAGTTTGTTTCCCTTTGTTGTTGAAGAGAAGTGGGCTCCTTGTGTACCCTGACACTCATCTTTGAAAACTTTATTTTATTTACCATTATTTTATGTAGTATGTATTTGTAAGAGTGAAAGCACATATGTGCCAGAGCACATGTGTGACGTCTGAGGCTGACTTCCTGGAGTTGGTTTTCTCTTTCCACCGTAGACTCTAGGGACCAAAGTCAGGTCATCAGGCTTCCTCAGCAAGTGAAGTGAGCCATCTCACCGTTGCACCAGCCCAACACTTATCTTTGAGGAAGTGCTTCATATTTAAATGAAAGAACAAATCAAAATTAGCTTTAAGAGTTGCTCTTTTTCTCCCTGCTAGTCTTTTCTAAGCCCTTGAGCAAATTGTCATAGTAACTTCTAGAAAATATGGATTTTGAAAATGAGAGTTTCCAAATTCATTCAGGGGGAGGGATGGAGGGAGGGAGGGAGGGAGGAAGGAAGGAAGGAAGGAAGGAAGGAAGGAAGGAAGGAAGGAAAGTTGGTTTCAGGTTTGGTCTCAACTCCAAATGTTAAGAATCAAAGTATCTTTGTCTTGCTGTGAAAGAAATTACATGCCACAACAGGGCATACATGTCTTGGGTGAATCAGAAAAGCCTCTCTTTAGCCAGGACTTTAGATGGTGTGCTTAGTCATGGTAGGGCATTCTCAAATTATAGAACATTGCCTGTTCCACAATTTGTTTTGTAAGAGTATCTTTGGTCAAATTTCAGAGAATTCTAGAGGGCATTTGAGTGTGTGTACAATAATTGGTTTTGGTTTGAGACATGAAATGAACAGATTTTTGAGATAAGCAGATTAAATAGGTATTCCTTTTGAAGAACAATCAATTTTCAGAGCCCTTCTCTGCTTCTGAGTCATCCAAGAATTTTTTTTCCTTCTATCGTTTGTTTTGGTTCAGAGGGAGAAAATTTGCTGTTTCACTTGTGTTCGATAGTTATTGGCATAGTGGGTGCTTTTGGAAGATTTTTTGCTTTTGTTCTGGCCTAGGATGGTGAGGATTCTTTGATGAGTCATATTGTGCCTGTCCTCATACATGTATTCTTTTTTTATACTTTACATGCTTTGGTTGGATATGCCTGTTAATTCCCAAACTTTCTCTCTTTAAAATTCCTAATGATAAATTTGGGCGTGGTGGCACACATCTTTAATCCCAGCCGTCAAGAGGCAGAGGCAGGCAGATCTCTGTGAGATTGAAGCCAGCCTGTTTTACCTAGTGTGATCTAGGCCAACTGGGGCTACAGGGAGACCCTGTCTCAAAAAGACAAACAAAACAAAACTCTTGAGGATGGGTAAAAATGGATTCTGTTGATACATACTTAAAAGTCATGTTATGGGTCTTAGTATCTTGCTCTTTAGAATGATTCTTAGTAGGAATTTAGGGAATTTTAAGAATCCTTCCACTTTTGTTTATCTTGTTCTAGCCCAGCTATCAAGGACTATCAAAGAGATGCCCACACTGCTGAGACATCAGGACTTTTTCCTTCAGGCTCTAATTAATTCCCTACAGGGTTCTTTATTTGTGGTCAGTTGCAGGGAGAGAAGCTGATTGCCCGGGGGATAATCTTGTGTGTCCCTGGTTAACTGACCTGCCTTGATTTTATTTACCCTTACCCTCAGGGATTTGTGGGAAAAATCAGGGCAGCACAGTTTTTTACTGGGCATGGAAACCTTATCATCAGTGAAAAACCACATATGGGAAAAACAAGAACTTGGCTCCTAGGTCCAGTTCTGCCAGTGAGCTGTGTGACTTTGCAAACAGTAATTGTTGGTGAAGATGGTGACAACTAGTCATTATCGCTAACAGGCTTTGTGCTTTCACCAGGAGCCTGGGTTGGTGAGGCCCTTCCCAAGTCTGGTAGTCCTCACAATAGCTTTCTGAGCTACAGCTCATCATCCCAGGTGAGGAAGTGAGGGTCAAGGTTAGGAAACTGATTATAGACACACAGTTTAATGTTAACAAAGTGGGGAGGGGGTCTAAAATGCTTAAGAAAACCAGATGAGGAAGCATGCATAAGCACTTTGGGGACTTGTCGAATGCTATTAAAAACGTGTCCTCTTTTCTCCTTAGCTCTAATGACAGCTCCAAGGAAGTGCAAAGCTGTTGCTGTCTAGCTACTTGGCAGAGAGGCCTTTTGAGCTTTTTATTTCTCTTTTTAATAATCTTTTTAGATTTATTTTTTTATTTATGTGTCTGTGTGTATGTTTATGAGTCTATACGTGCATGTGTGTGCCAGAAGAGGGCCACTAAGTTAGAGTTATAGTTGTGTAGGTGCTGGGAACTGAATTTTAGCCCTTTGGATGATCAATAATTGGGCAGGCACTGATAGCTTCCTAGTCATGGACCTAGAGTTCTCCCTTGGTGTAAGCCCCAGGTGGGCAGCACCATCTCTTGCAGAACTGCTCAGGCAACTGTGTAGGCAGTGTAGACTGACCCTTACTTGGAGAATAAGCCATGGAACTCTTCTTAGAAAGTCGGTGTTTCAAGGACCACCTGCTAAGACCTGATGAGGTTGATTCCTTTGAATTGCAAATTAATGAGATGACTTTGCTGTACTGGTAAGGGAACCCTTACTTTTGACACAGAGTGGGAGTTGCTGAAAGAACAAACCCGAGCAGAGATATAACCATACAAGGTCAAAAGCACTGACTGAAAAATGATGACCATGTTTTAGCTTTTGGAAATGAAACATTCAGGGATAGACAAATTCGGCAGACAGATTTGCTATGGAAGTCTTTTTAAATAGTGAAATCCTTGCAAATACAGCACAATATGCACAGAACAATGTGCACAGACACAGAACATCTGTGCACAGTTTGAAGTTGGACAATTATAATCTGAAGAATTAAGAATCCGTTTTAAATGTGTAAGAATAGGGCACCTGGGTGAGTTCTTTTCTCAACTCTTGCTCTGGGTTGTATCGTCTTTGAGTCCTCAGTTAGTGGTATGGCTCCTGGCACTTGAAAGATCTGAATGAATGTTGGATTTGCTTCATTGAAATTGGCCTCATGCTATTTGCTCCAAAGCAGAGCATGCTCACCACCTTCCACTGAAACCAGGCCTGCTGGGGGAAGCTCTTGGTAAGTTGCTACTGGGAGGTGGTCAGTTGCCTGATCAAGCGCTGGATGGCTCGTAATGACTTTACACTGAGGTTTAATTCATTAGCTACAGAGCAAGCTTGTGGGTGGCCAAACTATTATGGTCCAAAGGAAGAACTAAAGAAATTTCTGTTAAAATAAAAAATGAGTGAAATTTATAAAATACATTTTGTGAAATGCACTTTCTTTGAAGTATTTTTTGGTAATTTGTAGTAATAAAAATGCTATTAGGGAAGGGACCCTTTGAAGACAAGCTTTACTTAGTAAAAAGGCTATAAAAGTGTTTGCAAATAGGTACATCTATGGTGTTCAAGTTTAAGATGTAAGAAAATGCAAATATTTCTTTATCAATTATAGTTCTATGATTTATTTTGCAATTATCACAGCCCTCCCCCATAAATAGTATTAAGATAAATTCCAGTGCAATCATTGATATTTCTTGTTCTTGGCAAGTAGGTCAAGTTAATGAGATTACATATGTATGACATTTTTCACTCTTAAAGCTATCTGCTTTTGCTTTCTCTGGTATTATAATGTGTGCATCAAGGTGCTCCGACTTCTAGACACAATATTGCAGCAGAATCCTCTGCATATTTAAATTTCTCACACTTTCCTTGTATCACCATCTAGCTTATTCTTATTTTTCCAACTTCACTGAAATACGGGTGAAGAATAATAAATTACATGTGTTGAAGTGTATCATTTGATCCCTTGTCACACATGTGCACATCCATAAACCATCACCACAACCAAGATCGCAAACATTATCACTATGGCCCAAATATCCTTGCTTCCCTTTGTAATCCATCACTCAGACCACTCCTACCTCTCCAGTCACCACTGATTTGGCTCCTATAATTAGAGATTAATTTTTGTTTTCTAGAATTTTATGTAAATACAACCATATCGTATGTACTTTTAACTGTGGCTTCTTTTACTTAGCATAATGACTTAGACCATCTTCTATGATCAGGAGGAGGCTCTTTTCCTTTGCTGCTTAGAATCTGTTGTATGGATTTGTCACAATTTACTTATCCATTCACCCATTGCTGGAAGTTTGCCTTTCTCCTCCATTTTTTATGCAACTTGTTAGTTACGAACATTCATGTATAAGTCTTTGAGGCAGAATGCATTTTCATTTCTTAGTTATCATTTCCCAAAGTAGTAGAATGGCTGATTCATGTCACATGGGCATGCTCAACATTTTACAAAACTGCTAAACTTTATTTAAAAAAATTAAAAAAAATTCTTTTGGATTTTTGAGACAGGGTTTTGCACTGTAGTCAGGATGGCCTGTGACTTACTACATAGTGAAGGTTAGTCTTTTTTTTGAAATTTATTTATTATTTTTATTTTATGTGTATGTGTGTATTGCCTGCATGTGGGTAAGTGCACCTGTGTCGTGCAATGCCTGCAGAGGTCAGAAGAGACTATTGGATTCCCTGGGACTGGAGTTACGGACAGTTGTTAGCTACCACGTGGGTGCTGAGATCGAACTCGGGTCTTCTGCAAGAACAGCCAGGGTTCTTAATTGCTGAGCCATCTCTCCAGCCCCAATGAAGGTTAGTCTTAAACTTAGAGCATTCTTCCTATCTCAATCTCCCCAGTGATGGAATTACAGATGTGCACCATCATACTTGACTCCAAATTAAAAAAAAAAAAATCAGCCCCCCTCCCTCTTTTTGAGACAAGGTCTGTTGTATTCCAAGCTATGTTCAAACTTTCTGTGTAATCAAAACTGGCCTTGAACTCCTGATCCTCCTGCCTCTACTTCTTGAGTGGTGAACACCAGTCTCGTAGTTTAAAATGAATCATTTTGCCTTTCTACCAGAATTATATGAGAATTCCATCCAGTTGCTTTATATCCTCATCAGTGTGAGATTGGGGAGAAAATCTTTCTGAATGCTTAATAATTTCTGAGCAAATTTTACCAGGCTTTGGCCTAAAGGATAAGCTTTGCACTTAGTAAGAGATTAACCTCTTTAGGGTAATGTATTCACATACCAAATGGTAGTGATACTCAGGATCGCAGGGACATTCCAGGGGTTGGGGAGCCAAAGAGACACATCTTTCTGCTGGATATATTTATTTTTGAACCAAAGATATTGAACTTCAAGCCACTTGTGTCTTTTATGGTAAGTTATTTGCTCTCATCTAAAGGCTAGTTAAATTCTTCCTCTTATACTCCTGAGTAGGAACCTGGGATCTCTCCTTTTCTCTTTCCAAGAAGAATTTATTGACTCTAAGGGAACTTTATTCTCTCTCACATTCAGAAGGTGAGGAAAGAGCCATTGACTCCCTCCATGCAAATCTCCTAATTCTGGAGCTTCTCAGTCCCATTACCTATCCCAGTATATGTAGGATGATGCCTGACTCTCATTATGTTGCCCAGGGAAGGAACTACACTGAAAGGAGAACCAATACTGTTATTCCTATGAGTGAGTAATTAATCTAGTTCTGTTCCAGGAAATCTGGTGTTTACTTTCAAGAAAGGGTGCATAAACATAGTATCAAAAGTATATAAAAAGTTTCATTCTGTTTGCTGTGCTGTGATGTGTTAATATGTTTTTATTTTGTTTTTCTAGTGCACAATGATGCTGATCATCTTTTTGTTTTATTATTGTTTTATATTTACTTCTTTATTTTTAATTATGTGTCTGCCTGTGTATTTATATGTGCACTACATGTATGCAGGTGCCTGTAAAGGCCAGAAGAGGGTGTCAGATCCTACCTAGAACTGGAGTTACATGCTACTGTGAGCCACATGATGGGTTCTGGGAACCAAACTCAGGTCCCCTGGAAGAGCAGCAAGTGCTCTTAACTGCTGAGCTATCTCTCCAGCCCTTATTTTATTATTATTTTTAATTATGTGTGAATGTGTATGTTTGTCTGTGCACAGGAATGCAGGTGTCTATGGAGGCCAGAGGTATTGGATCCTCTGGGATTGGAGTTATAGGCAGTTGTGATCTTCCTGACATAGGTACTGGAAACCAAACTCAGTTATTCAGTAAGAGCAGCAAGTGCTGTTAACTCCTGAGCCATCTCTCCAGGCCTGTTCCTCCCCTCAGGTTTTTGAGATGTGATGTCATGTAGCTTTGTCTGGTTTCAAACTCACTACATGGCTAAGGGTGAACTTGAACTCTGGATCCTCCCGCCACAGTTTCCCAAGTTCCCAAAGCTGAGATTACAGAAGTATACCACCACATCTGAACTTGAGCATCTTTTTGCCGACTATTTGTATGCTTTCCCTTTATAAATTATCTGTTCAACCTTCTAATTATTTTCAAGTTTCGAGTTAAGTTTACTATATTCTAGATAAAGTCCTTTATGTGTATTTTTATGAATATTTTGAGTATTTTCTCTTTTTCTGTATCCCCTCCCACCATCACTTTTTCCCCCAGAAAAAGTTATATAGACCAGGCTGGCCTTGAATTTGCAATTCTCCTTCCTTAGCCTCCTTAGTGTTGGGATTAGGAAGACAGGCACCACTATGCCCAATTCTGTTTTGTTTCCTTTCTCTCTTTCTCTCTTCTTTCTTTTCTTTTTCATTTTTATTGATTTTACTTGTTTATATAGTTTTTTTTTTCTTAACAGGGTTATTTGAAGAGCAAAACTCGTTTGCTATAATAAAAATCCAGTTTATCAACTTTTCTCATGTACTATGATTTGTATTTTTCAAGAAAACATTACCTACACAAGATTGTGTAACTATTCTGTTTCTTCTATAAATTTTGAGTTTTAGACATTACATTTAGTGCTATGATCCATTCTGAGGCAATTTTTGAGTATGGTTGTAAATTAATTCCAATCATTCCTACTCAAAAATTAAAATTATATTTGTTTATTTATTTGGGGTGTGTGTGTGTACATGCAAACTATGGTGTGTGTATGTGTATGTGTGTGTGTGTGTGTGTGTGTGTGTAAGTTAGAGGACACACTTAACAAAATGGGGTTTCTACTCCCACCATGTGGGTTCTAGGGATTGAACTCAGAATTCAGGTCATCAAGCTTGGCAGAAGGTGTCCCCGGTAGCTGAGCCATCCTGCCAATCCCAGTCAATCCTATTTTGATGAGCTGTATTGTTTCTATTTTCTTAGGTTGTCTTTAAAGTTTGGTGACACTGAAGAGTCCAAAGATCTTGACATAAGGTAGGTGGGATACCACTTTGTAGTTATAGTTTCAGCACCTCAGATATACTCTACTTAATTTATTCATTCCTCATGTGAGTATCAAGGGCTTGGATTTGCCAATCCTGTGACACATTAAATGCCATATATATCTAAGCACCCCGAGAAATCAGTGACTGTGGGTGATAGGATCCTGTAGGAATGCTTTCTTTAATCTCTCCCAAACCTCTACTTCTTGCATTCTTCAGTGAGGAACTTAAGGACACATGAATCTGAGAATGTGGTATCCTTTCCCCCAAACAATGAAGAAGATAGAAATAAAGCTCTATGGGCTTGAGGCTCTGGTTTAAGCTGATTCTGATTTGTAGCTCCTGATATGAGTCACACATATTTATGACAACAAATAAATCTTTATCTTAATTCCCCAGCACCTAACAATAAAGGTCCCCATTTTTCTCTATGGAATGTTGCACCTACTAATAATGGCTTGTCTCAGCATTTAACAATAAAAATGTTGAAGGCACAAATTTTTTTCTCCTAAAAATATTCTAATAATTTATCTCAGTAGTTAGTAAACAAGAAATTTGAAGGCATAAATCTTCTCCTAAAAATGTAGTTCAAGGGCTGGGGAATGGCTGAGTCACTGCAAGCATGAAGAAAAGTTTGATCCCTAAAGCCCACATAAGAACAGCCAGGTGAGGGGCTCCTTTTTGTAACCCCAGCAGAAAGTGGGAGAGTGGAGACAGGCAGATCCCTCGGTCTCACTGGCCACTTAGGCCAGTGGGCCACAACAGAAGGTGGACAGTGTCTGAGGAACAGCACCTGAGGTAGTCCTCGGACTTCTACCTGCACACTTGCACGTGCGTGTGCACTTTCACACACATGAACATGCACATCCATGCACACTCAAAAATAGTATTTCTCTTCCTGTATGTGACCCTTTGGTAGAGATGAACAGTTTGTCTCAACATTATTTGGAAAACTATAGGATATGCCAGGGTAAGTAGTACTCCTTCCTGAGCTGCACTCTGTGGTGCACTTTGGCTTTGTGAAAATATTCATAAGATTCTCCAGCAAAAGGTTATGTAACCAGACTTATTTGAGAACGACTATGTACCATGCCTTCCTTTGGAAATTCACATCATAAATGTACTTACTCAAGCATCTGAAAAGATACATTCTTAAGGAAAACTGGCTTTTTATAACTGTAATCCAGTGTTTCCTAAGTTTAACCTTGAAAAGCTTCACCCTCAGAACACCTGCCTACACATTATGGGACACTGATGTTTCACTGATCATAATTTAGAAAATACATACTACCATCTTTCATGGAAAATTCTTTTTTGTTGTTGGAGATGAAAACTGGGGCCTTCTGCATGCTAGACGAGTACTCCCCCTTGGAGCTACACACCTAGCACTTCAGAGAATCTTCAAGAGAAACAGAATCCCACTAGGTGACCAAAAAGATGTACATATCTGATCTAGAAAAGGTGAATACTTTTGATTTGTAATAGCACTTTTTTCAACTGGAAAATACCGCTGTTATTATCATCACCATTTTTACTTAAGATAAAGATGTACAACACACACCGGCAATACCTTATCTGTATCTATTTAGGTCTTAACATTGGAGAGCGATAGAACACACCTGCTCAAATTTCATCTGCCCATCCTTTCTTGAGAAAAGCTTTTGCTGGTCAAAGGGTCAACTGCCTTCCACTCTAGGCCAGGCCAGGAGGAATGTAAGCACTCCAGCAATCTTCAGAGATAACTCTGAAGTGTGGTTTTTGCCTTGACTCCCAGGCTTCCCCATGACATCTGGCTCTTCTTGTCCACTTTGGAAACATGTTTAATGTTGTGCCTGTTAGCTGTCTCCCCTTTGCTGTCATTGCTCTTTCCTCCACTCCACCAGATCTCCTTATAGTCACAGCTGGCCTGGAACAGGCAGACTGGCCTCAGTCTCATAGAGATTCACCTGCCTCTGCCTCCTGAGTGCTGGAATTAAAGGTGTGCACCACCATGCCCTGCCACTCTACATATTTAATTGACTGAATCCTCATAGTCCTATCTTTGTCTCAGGGTCTGCTTCTGAACGAGCCCTGAAATAAGATAAGAAGAACCCCTGAAAACCAAAAAAATCAGCAATATTGAGCTACAGAATAAGAAAACAAAAGTAACCAATAATCCAATTAACACTTGTAATTACTAATGTTTTTAATACCATCATTCTTGACTTTTGTTTTATGCAGTCATTCACTTTTTAAAATGAAAAGAAATTTATGACATATACATTATAATTTTTCATGACTTGAGAATATTCTACTCTTGACTGGTTGACAGTAAGGACTTTGGTTTCAGGTTGAATCTGAGTGTGCAAGGCATTTTGTCCCTTGGGGTTTCGTGTGTGAAATGAGCATAGCAATATTGTTCATCTCACAGTGGAGTAGATAAGATTAAACAAATGCTAGTAAGATAGAAATGTGAATGGTATGTAAGAAAGCTATTATTATTTTATGACAATTTAATTCTGTTAATGTACATTTAAGTTTCTATCAAATTTCTGGCAACAACAATAAATATAAATTGATTCTTTTTTAAAAGAGATTTTTTGGTAGGATTTTTGTATTCCTTACTTCTGGTTGGTCAGTCATAGACTTTCTCACCAACCTTGAGGAGTTTTTACTTGGAGCCAAAGGGAAGCTGATCCCCAGATCAGTTCCACAGCCTGACAAAAGAGGGCGCCATTGTATTGTTCATAGATGAAGCCCCGGGTCAGTAAATGCAGTAAAAGCGCACTGGGTAACACTAACTATAATAATTTTCAGATTCATCCTTACCAATTACAACAAACTGCCCAGCCAGAGTTGGTTTAGTTTGCATCGAGTCGAGATTGTTTTCAACAATTCAGTGCAAACAACTTTCAATGCAACTGATATATACGCTCTGTCAAGTTATTCCTACCACTGCCAACGCGTCAGCAGCCTGCAGCGGAACGATGCCCTGCTGTTGCCCAGCAGCACAGGCGACGTGGCAAGCCCGTGGGAGGTCACTTTTATTGATTTCCAGGTAATAAACTAAAGCTCAGTACACCTGCATACTTGGTGCCAAGGAACTCAGTGTTTGTTTGAAATCACCTGAAAGAGATGTTTAAGGAACGAGAGTTCATGCTTTCAAAGGAATGTTGGCTTATTTTCAGTCTTCTAAGGTATACAATGGAGTAGGATGGAGTGTTTCCTCTCCTTGTGTCCTCAGCATCCCTGCCAAGGACTGGCTTTTTAAGTTCCTGTTTACCTAGTCACCAATCATTATCTAAACCCTAGCACAGCTGTGACTGAAGGCCGGTGACTGACACTTCCTGGGCTGAGAGGCCTTTGTCCCAAGAGCCTCTAAGGGCCACTTATTTGATTTCCTCAGGGAGTGGAGCAGCATCCTATCAGGACAGATAAGAAGTAACTCTGTAGTGTGAGTGACAGTGTTGGCAGTTAGCATAGGAATCATCAGTTAGGGAGTCAGAAATATCCCAGAGTTCTAGAAGGCAGTCAGAGAAAGGCTTGGGAGGACAGCAGAGAATCCTCTCAACTCTATCTTGTTTACTTTGGCAAAAGCTTAGCTTGTTCTGTCAACTCACTGAAATAGCAGACATGGCTTTGCATGTCCCTTATAAGGCCATGTTCTAGTCTTTTCCATATACATGGAAATATATATATATGTGTGTGTGTGTGTGTGTGTGTGTGTGTTCATATAAATTCCCCTCAGGCTGGGGGAGGTGCAATGTTGATGCAAGGTCAGTGGGGAAGGGATAGAGCTTACTTTTTGGAATTAGAACTGATTTCAAATCATAGCTACATGGATAAGTTACTTAATCTTGTCAGCTTTTGACCTGTCTTTATGAATATAGAGAATGAATGACCTCATATACAGAAGCACCCAGGGCCATGCCAGGCATGGATTTTACAATACCTTTTAGGACTTTCATATATTAATGGTTAAGACAGTACATTTTATGTTATGTATATTTTGCAACAACAAAACAAAAGGGCAAAGACAGGGGATTAAAAAAAAAAGAAGAAAAAGAAAAAGAATATCAGAAGATGACTGAGGAGTCACCAGTAGTATTGGTTCACAAAACCACAGAAATAACACGTCTACTGGCAGGATGAAGCACAATTTAGCTTAGAAGCTGTGGAGCAGCCAGCCTAAAGAAGAAACATTTCATTATATGTTCATAAAGTCCCTAGACTACAGAGAACTTGTTTCAAGGAATATGTTCCCCTACAATGTTGTGCAACATGTATGCCCTCAGTAGCATCCTCACAGTGAATGTGTATCATAAATGAGTTGTTTGGAAATGCCCATAATGTGAACAGATGACAGAATGCAAGTTCAGGTCCGGGGAGAGGGGTTTTTCCAAAAGGCTGCTTTCCACACATGCAGGCTTGCTTGTCTTTCCTATTATAGGATAATCTACATTTGTCTCTTAGTATGTACAAGGGATTAGTTGTGACCCTTCTTCTTCCCATGAGTACCCAAATCTGTGGATGCTCAAGTCTCTTATATAAAAAGGCATAATAGTCACATATAACCCATGTACAGCCTTCCATACACTTTCAGTTGTTTCTAGGTTACTTATAATACCTAGTGACATGTAAATGCAATATAAGTAATTGTTACACTGCACATGTACAGTACAATTTTTTCCAGAATATTTTGGATCCACAGTTGGTGGCTGGTTGAACGTCCATGAATGAAAGTCATGGATACTGAGGACCATCTTTGTGCAGAATGACATGGCATGCATGGAAACTCAGACGCCTCAGATAAATACAATTTTTTTTAAATTTAATTTTGTGAATTTCATATAGTATGCTTTGATCATATGTAGATCCCCTCTTATATCTGCACCCCGTTTCTAATCCTGCCCACCAAATTTCTGTACTTTAGAATAGATAGAAGGTCCTATAGAGTTAGGTTTGTGTCTCAAATGTCCTTCGATGTAAATTCATTCACTGCAGCCTGGTCCAGGCTCCAAATGAGACTGGCTCTCCTCTCCCAACAGCCATAATTGCCAATAGTTTCTTAGTAGGGTTAGAGTTTCTTACGTATTTCCCCAGGACTGTGCTGGGATTTTGTCTAGCTTGAGCTTATATGGGACTTGTCCATGCTGTCACCACTGCTCTTAGTTCATATGAGTAACTGCCCAGCTGTCTGGAAAACTCTGTTTCCTGTGGTCATCCACCTTCTCTGGCTCTTACAGTCTTTCTGTTCCCTCTTCCACAATGATCACCAAGCTTTGGGAGGCAGAAGTTTGATAGGTGTCCTATTCAGGGATAAGCACTCTGCAGCCTCTTATTCTCTGCATGTTGGCTGGTTATCGTTCTCTGTATTAATCACCATCTGCTGTATAGGGAGTCTTCTCTGCTGAGAGTTGAGAGATGCATTAATCTCTGGGCATAACAGTACATCATTAGCAATCAATTTAATACTATATCTATTTAGCAGATAGTTGTATTAGGTTTTCTCCCATGGCCTGTGGACTGTTTAACTTCAGGTTCCTACACCTGATATCAATGTCATAATATTAATGTCACTGTTGCACATGTAGCAGATCTTTCCAGGCCAGTTGTACCTTGTAGGATTCACAACTGGATAAGGTTCACACTAAGTTTTCTCTTCAGATAGATTATACAGCACCTTCCAGCTCTATGAAAGCTAAGCACTAGAGATGCGGCTTTGAAGTCAGCCTCAGCTTGATTTCTCTTTGTTTGTCCTACAATTAGGGTCTTACTGTGAAGTTCTGGTGGGTTACTAAGAGCAAGAGCAATGGCCAGCAGTGTTTGGGGGGGGTCTATGGGTCCCCTGGTCAATAGCTTCAAAAGATAGAGTCCATTCCTGGTATTGTGGTTTGACTTTGGATGACTGTGGTGTCTAGTAGGGGCAATGTCCCCTGTTATAAGGTAACTCCTTTTAATCTTTTTTAAAAATTAAAAATAATATATATGTATGTATTATAAGTAGTTTCTATAGTGGTAGGCCGCCATATGGCTTTTTCTAAAGGCCTTTAGTGTTGGTTATCCCTCCCTCCTCTGCCCTGCCCTCCAAATTTCCACCCCATTTAACCCTTCTTACTCTTTTATGCCCCCCTTCCCCTTTATATCATCGCATTCCATCTCCCCTTCCAGGGAAGTCCCCCCCATTGCCCATGGCCTTTTACTAGTCTTTGACCTCTCTGAATTTTCAAATATGCATATCTAAAATTTCAATGCTAGCATCCAGCTATAAGAGAGAACATAGAATATTTGCCTTTCTGGGTCTGGGTTACCTCACTCAGGATGATTATTTCCTGTTCCATCCATTTACCTATGGATTTCATAAATATCCTTTTAATTTTTTGATATATCCTTTAAAAATGAAGCAGGTGATGGAATGAGGAGACATTGTGTAGTATTATGCTCCATGAGCCCACTAATTAGGGGCTGTCTTCCACAGTGATTCTTTTGGGTTTGCAGAAGTTTTTTCATAATCCAGTTTCTTTCATTTTGATGTAGTATTTAGACATCAGGCCCTCTTGTCAATTTGAACTATTCTAGTTCCAAGTAATTAAAGAGGAAGCTTCTCTTCCTATTCCGTGGACAGAATGCAAGGAGTGGCTAGTGTACAGCTTTTCCGAAATGGTACCCATCTGCATGATGTGGTCTCCTTTTATCTGAGGCTTTACTTTCTGTTTTGGAAACCTGACATCACACAGTCTGAAAGCATTAAATGGAAAAATAAACAGTTCACAATTTTTCAAGAACCTTTTTACAGAAATATTATAATTGTTCTTTTTTTTCTTTCATACTGAGATTTTACTGGTTGAGAACCAGTATACAGACATTTCAATTCATACACAATTATTAATAAATGTACCAAAAGTCTAAAGAACCATGTACTGTGTTTCTTTTTAAAAGTTATTCCAATGATGCTCCTGCTTCGAACCTGGTGGCACATTTCCCTTTAGGGGACTCATTTAACAGCATCATCAAACGCTGACCAACAATCTTTCTTTCCACTGAAATTTGTTATCACATATACTAGACACTCAAATTTTCATCTTTCACAGCACATTTTCAAAACTATTAGGAAAACTGGACCACCATGACCAGATGTTACAGAGGGCACACAGTTCTGACAGGGCGATGACCAAGGAGTGGTATTTTTTTTTTTTTTAGAAAACTGTTCACCAAAAACACAGGACTAGAAGTCATCTAAAATACTCAAGACACATTAAATGCACAATTGAGACTCCCAAGTTTCCATTTAGCATTCTCTGGGTCACAGGATCCAAAACTAACCCCCTCTATGGAACTACACTGATACCCAAGACAGTGACAGCCTCCCATGATTCAATATGCCACTATTTTCTGGTTGTACCAAAAAATAAACAACCAGCGAATGATTTCACCTCTTAAAAAAATCATTTACGCTTAAAAAATGGGATGAGGTGGGATTTTCTCCTTTCAAAAATGTTTCTAGAGCTACTAAAAAACTTGCATTTACAAAATATTCCTGATAAAAATATTCCTCTGGATTGTACAAGGGCGGTGGGGAGACTGAGGACAGGATGCCGATCGGCCGGACTTGGCTTGCGGGTCTCTCCGTTTCCCTCGGGCAGGTCTTTAGTCTCCCGGTTGGCTACTTCTGTCTGCTTTCCCTTTACTCCCCTTTTTCCTTTTGTCTGCACTTTTTTGTCTGAAGATTTGTCCTTTCCCGCGGCCTTTTTTGGCTTGGATTCCACTTTGGCAGGAGGTTTGGCCAACAGCCACGCCGATCTGCTCTTCGGCTCCTTGCCCGCCGCCTTGAATGACCTTCCTCTTGGGCATCGTGGTGGCCCGGCGGGGCGGGCGCATGCGAAGCAGAGGGCAGTCACCGAGCCGCGAGGCCTGGCCTCTGCTCCCGCAGCCCCGACTGCTACGACCTATAATTGTTCTTTTTATTACTAGTTATTAATCTTTTCCTCTACATAATTGACAAATTAAACCTTACTGTAGGTATGTATGCACAGAAAAGCAGGTATAAACAGTCATCTCTTTGACATTTATGGAGATTCATTCCTGGACCTTGTGCTAACACCTAAACCAGAGGATGCTCAAGTCTTCTGTATAAAATGGCATAGCATTTGCATACAACCTCTTCTATACTTTAAATCATCTCTAAATTATTCATAATACCTAATATAAGTACTATGCAAATAGCCACTGTGCTATATTATTTAAGGAACAGTGAAGAGAAGTACATACAGTTTCTTTGAATATTTTTAATCTTCAGTTACAGAATTCTGAAGGGTTTGAATTTATCAGTTGTGGTTGTGGTTTTACATTGTCTAGAATATCAAAATCAGAAGTTTTATTTCCTAGTCTTGAATTGTAGGATACCTTTAGTTACCACAGTTATCCATCCCAGAATTTATGAGCAAATTCTCTTTTAAAATCACATTTCAAGCCTAGCATGGTGACTCATGTCTATAACCCCTATGCTAGGGAGGCTGAAGCAGGAGGAACAAAGGGAGTTTAGGGCCAACCTGGGCTAACCTTGTCTCAAAACAAAGCTTCACTGTCTCAGTAAGTGTAATCATATTTCTTGGATCGTGTGTTTAAATTATTCCACAATTTTGTGACAGTATGTATCCTAGTTTCCTAGTTGCTGTGATAAAATACCTTGTCAAAAATAACTGCGAAGGACAAACACTTTGTTTTACCGTTCCGGGTGATAGTCTATCACTGAGTGGAAGTCAAGGTAGCAGAAACTTGAAGCACCTAGTCACATTCACAGTCAAGAACACAAACACATGCATACCTAGTACTCAACTCATTTTCTCCAGTCGTGTACTGTCCAGGACCCAAACCAGGGAGCAGAGCCATGCACAGTGGGTCAGGTCGTCCCTTGTCATTGAATATAACCAAGCCAACCCTTCACAGATACGTTCCTAGAGAATGTGTTCTAGGTAATCCCTCATTGAAACTCTCCTCCCAAGTCATTCTAGATTCTGGCAAGTTGACAATTAAAACTAGCCATTACAGTATGTTAAATTTGGTTAATTAGGGGCCCAGAATCACAAGAACAGTGAGAATTGGTTTGTAGAGGAAAGCACAGGTGACTTGTGTTCTTTTCTTTCTCCGAACAGATTCAGAGCTTCACTATTAAGGGGGCACAATTTGCCCAGGCCCGAGACTGCGTGTCTTCCTTCTCGCCAGCTGTTCTGATCGGCCTGGCCATGTCCTTGATCCTGTTGCTGGTGCTGGCCTACGCCCTGCACATGCTCATCTATCTGCGCTATCTGGACCGCCACTACGAGTTCATCACTTCTCCTGTCCACTTTCCACCTCTGAAGGCGCCAGAGTCTGGGGAGGAGAAGGAGCTGCTGGAGAGCCAGGGCGCTGAGTGCTATGAGCTGAAGAGCCAACAGATCTGCAAAATCTATGTTTAGCAGCGCAGACTTCAGTCTCCTCACTAGGCCACAGCCGACCCTGAAAGGCATTGTGCCCTCCTGTGTGGACTTGTGAATTTCTTGATTAAAAAGAAAAAGAAAATACATAATGAGTTGGTTTTGAGCATCCACTGACTTAGCTAGGTAGATTTAGGGCAGTGAAAAAATAACTCAAGGGACCCCCATAGAGACAAACAAGACTGCTGCTCCAGAGAGACTTGCACATGAAGGAAAGAGAGAGAGAAAGAATAGGAGGGAGGAAGGAAGGGAGCAGAGTGAGGAAGACGGGGTGGAAGCACAATGCAATAAAGACAAGCAAAACACCCTTGGCCTCTGCACCTCTGCCAGTTTGGATATGGTAAGACTAGAAACAATAAAGCTAACATTATCTGGAAGTTCAGAATGTAAACATTCTATAAATTAATTCACATTTCCCCCCTAAAATTATGTTCCAGTTTAATTTCAAAAAGTAGTCTTTATTTCTCTTTTTTATAGAACTATTATAGGAAGACTGCTGTCAGCCTGTGGCAGAATATTTTACTCACAGATCATCTTGCCAATGTTACTCAGAAGCAGCAGTCTGTGGAGCCCAGTCTATGTAGTAGAGGCAAGAGTCTTGGCCCTTTGAACCTGGTTGTAGGCCTATGCTTCCTTGTCTGCTGTAGACCTCTTGGCTATGCTGGCCACGAAACAAGCAGCAGAACTAAGTGTGAACAATGTGTATGCTGTGTAAACACAAATGCACGAAAACTACTCTAATCCCCTCTCACTGAGGTAGTGTACTCAGAACTCTTAGTTGAAAATCTGAGGCCGTCACTGATGTTCTTACTATCACTTTCTTCCTTCTGAATTCCCCCCAAATCCTTTTTAGTTCTTGGAAGATACTGAAGGTTGGTTCCCTCTCCATCTCCTCAAAGCCCCTGGAGTATGCTTTGTGTGTGAAAGAGCTTATAAATGTAAGAAGCAGATTGTGTTTTTCTACTCAGGTTCTGTACATGATCTAAGTTTACTAAGAAGAGGCCCCCTCAACAAAACTTAAAATGCACACAAAGAAATGGAAGTTGGGAGGCTGTGGTGATCTGTCTATTCTCCAATCCCGTCTTAGTCAATGAACAGTGGGTGATAATCACTGAAGTTTCTGGTAGAACAGTATATTTTGAGCATTTCTTTCAGTTGCATCATTACTGGCTGAATGAAGATTTGGTTCAACCTCTATTGGAGTTCTGGAAGATCATAATACTTCATAATAAATTCCTTCTGTTTTGATATTTGGATTAGAGTCTGTAGTCTACAGCAAAGAATCATGTAATTGTCATACTAAAGAGATTGCAGGAAAGAGATGCTCAGGATACAGGGGAACTAAGATTGATTACCTGCCTCTAGTTTGATTAAAGCCAACTACATATTTATTGATGTTAGAAAACGGTGGGCCCAGCCCATACCATTCAGCAATGAAAGCTCAGTTTTCATTGTGGTTGCCTTGAATATCCACTGGTAATGTAAATGGTTGTTTAATGGGCTATATGTATATGAAAAGTAAATCCAGTTTATTGGTCAAATTAGGATACTTTTGAAAGTGAAAGTGAATGGTATTAAAGTTCCAAGATGGCAGACATTGATGGCTCCAGGCAAAGTGGGATATATAATCATCCTAGGCATTGATCATATTTTGTAGGGTAGGCTGGTCTTTCTGTTCTGCTGAATGGTTTGTAGAAAGAAAAGAATAGTTAAAAATTTTAAATTACAATCTCAAGGTGTGGTCAGTAGTCTGGCATCATCCACGACTGATCTAACAGGATTCCTTTTCTCTTTCTGAAGTGGTGAGCTTGGTAAAAACCAGATTCAATTTTGAGCCTACAAAATGCTAGCCTGCACTGTAGATGGAATTCACACTCCTGATCATTCTCTCATATTAAAACAAGAATATTGACCCCCGTCAAGTTCTGAGAACAGGAATAGTGAGTTCTGGGAAAATTTAGAACATTTTATGCATTTTTTTCAGTACTGGGATTGAATCTTGGGCCCTGTGCATGTTAGGCAGGTGCCCTGTCACTGAAGCACTGTCCTCCTTTTCACTTCTTATTTTGAGACAGAGTCTTACTATATAGCCCAGGTTGGCCTTGAACTTGAGTCCATCAGTAGCTAGAGTTACAGGCCTCTCCTAACACATCCAGCTAACTT